GCGTTCAAATATAGCAATCAACACACCAGAAACATGAATCACGCACGATTTTCGCGCAATAAGCGGCGAGGGCATCTTCATGACATGCAAACAAGAATAAATATGATGATCCCGACTAAGAAAGACACCGAAAACATCGTCGCTAGCATGGGGTGTTGGTGAGGGCCTGCGCTTGTATCTCCACATCGGACATCATCCAGATGCTCTCCTCTGGGCTCGGCGCCCCCTGTGACTCCATTCAGACAGCCCGGGGAGACCCGATGGTGATGCTTTGGAAGGACCCGTCGAGCCGGTTCGTTCCGCAACACAACCTGAGAAAACCGTTTTTCATCGCCGATAGGCAGCACGAGGTAGAATGACTGTGTGAGGGGGCAACGTTTACCTGATCTGTCTACTATTGGGACCCTAGTGCTGCAGGTATTCTCTGATATTTGTATTCACAACATGTCAAAGACATCAGAGCGATTTCGTAGCACGAATCTCACCGAGTTTAGTATCGGTGATACAGCTATCAGTGATACCTTCAACTTATGTCAGTCCAAAGAACAGCCTAGAGAAGAGGATCTGGAACCACCCATATTGGAACAAGGCAAAAACCCTCATCATGCAGTTCGCAGAATGCGCACGCTTTCCAAGGGAAATATCAAGACATCTCTCAGGGAGAATCCACAACCAAGAATGGCGCAGACAGCTCCAGAACCGTGGGTCGGCCTACAAGTGAGTTACGGATCTTGTCAGACTGAACACAGTTCGGGGCTGGCTCGAAGGGCGGTCCTTCAGAGTTCATCCGTTTCGTGGGTAATCGACGAATGTCTCACTAGAGGAGTTGGCCCTGTTTCTGCCCACCAACAAACATTCACGCACGTTTTCGTCCCAGAATCTTTTTGACCCAAGCAATGTCGCAGGTTTTGACCTCTGCAGTACGCCTCCACACGCGTCATCAGTTTGGTCCTCCTTGGCGTGCTCGCTGCTATGTATGCTACTGCTGGATTGCATTCCTTCAACACAAAGACTAGACTAATGAAGAACACTGCGTCATCAGCCTTTATTGTCGCCATCAGCCAAACGAAGCACACCAACCAATAGGCCTTACAGCAACGACGCATCCCTTTTGCATTCTCAGGTGACCCCCACGTCACAGATTTGTATCAACCCAGCCAAGGAAGCGATCAAGATCATCGTGAGGGGAGTTGTTACATGAATCGCCAACATTTTAAAGTAGTCTATTCTTCTTTCTTCTACCGCTGCCCGTAGGCGAGAATTAGTCTACAGCAGCAGTGCTACTGTACGCCTGCCTCCAATTTGTCCTGCCCAGGAGCCTAGGCGACAGGTAGGTACAACGTACCGTTGTATGCGACAGCTGAGCTGCGGCAGCAGCCTGGAGTGTGAAGGGCACGCCTACCTCATGGCAATGAACCTCTGCGCCGCGGTACGCGTGCAAACAGCACAGGTCAGAACTACGTAGTCTACACGCGAAGGGTTCATCTACACACTGACCTCTGGCAACTACGTACCGTACACCACGGCACAAATAACTTAGTGAAATGTTCTCATTGCTGCTTGTTGTGTATCATGAAGAGCGTGAAACCAACTCCTGTGGTTTGCGTTCCTACGAAAAATATTGATGTGCATGATGACGCAACAGCCGTAGGAACTGGACAACGTTTTATGCATAGTTCTCGTGTCGGGACTTGCAGCACTCTACTTACTACCTGCAGTAGCAGTTTGGGGCACAACAACAACACAGCGTTCATTCTACAAAGCAACTTTCGGTTATCCAGCAGTGCAGCACTATCAACCAGCTTCACCCCAAACCGGTCTGACACGGACAGCTTAATCCTAAAGGGCTACATTTTTTTTTTTGGCTCCAATTATTGTACTCTGTCGTCTGCCCCTATCCTCCACTTCTACCAGCTAGACGACCCAACCGGGGTCACACAGGAGGGGGGGGGTTGGACCCCCTCCTGCGGTTACATGTAGACCATCGGTCCCACTTTGCTTTCGAGGGGACACATGATTAGCACAGGGCTTCGGAGCTGTGAGCAACTGTGAGACGGGAGACGGGAGACGGGTCAACCTTGGTCCTGGCCGGACATCTAGCGTAGCGGGACTGTGAGCATAAAAAAACACCCCTCCAATCACAGCGCCGTATTTTCCTAAAATCCTAAAACAGCAACATGCACCCAGAGACTCGCGGGTCGGAGGTCTTGAACTGAGATAGGCAAGGCCCATTGTAGGTGCAGAACCTGCGAAATGGCCATAACATTATGGATGCGATGAGCACATTGTACGCAGAAAAAAACAGCCACACAGCAGCGCAGCAGCGCACTACCAAGGTTGGATATCAGCCGTTAGTTGGCACACCACACGACTCGCACCTGGTCGAAAACTTCCGCACTACTTGTATCCCCGAGGACACACACCAGGGCGAACACGAAATATGGTACCCATGTTTTGATCATAGGCACAAATCCACGGGATTGACTTCTCGGGCGTTTCATGACCAAAGCCAGGAGGAATCCTGACTACAACTGGTAAATATTGGACGAACACGAAAATATGCGGCCCAACTTCCCTCAAGACGGTTTCTTCGCCAAACAACAATATCATCACGAAAATGCGGCAGCACCACAGAATAGCCCAGAAAACGTACCACCGGATCCCCGCAGCCCCCTCTAGTAGCCAACAAGCTGCACGGCGGTAGCAAGTAGCAAAGGTACCAGCCCTTGCGGGCTACATAACTCCGTCTCTCCTGTAGACTATATTAGATGCGCAGCGACGACAACGTTTCTCTCGCTACAGAGATGTCCTCACCAGCAGCCACAACCCTCCCGCATTTAAAAGGAGCCAGGCCTACCATTCACGCCGGTTTGCTTCGCCCTGTACTACTGAACAGGTACAGCTTAACGGGTGATTTTTGAGTGTTGCAGTAAGTTGACAAATACTGCTACGTGCGATTCGGTAGCATTTAGAATACACATACATTCAGGGTATTTACTTTTGTATGTATTCCAATATTCTAATAAAACGTAGTCGGGTACACCCGTAACTCCAATAGTTTATGCTTCGTGTTCCTGTCTGAAAAATATGCAAAGAAATGTAAGTGCGTGTCGTATTCGCAAGGCAGCAAATAAATGTGATCCGCAAGACGTCGGCATTGTACAGCAAGTACACAGTGTAGCAATAAAATATCTTGTTTGGCGTTGTTACAGGGTCGACATGTACTGATCTGATGTTGTGACACGAACGTACGTAAGAGACTGAACAAGAGTGACGGAGAGAGGACAAGGAACTAAACCCGCAACAATAGGAGCACTGGAGAGCGCTGCTACGTTCAGAATGTTCTACACAGCATGCATTATTGGCGCTCCAACTATGGTATGAACGACCGATAGGATCACCAGCGAAACAGAAAAGAACGCTTGTTCACAAGATTCCGTGACGCCTGATGGATACCGGATTTCTGAGACGTTGTAACTTCACGCATGTACCCCTTTTCGCGTAAGGGAAAGAACGGCTGGTCACCCTGGCGCCCCTCCCCCAGCTCCTGCTAGTAGAAAACGACCAAAGCACCAGAAGAATCATCAACATCGGTGCGTCGCCGAGGAACAAAACCCTCAAACACCCACCTCGTCTGGGACTCACGAAGACACGAGTACTAGGATGAAGAGCAGACAAGGCTCTGGAGGACAAGCCACTGGAAAATCCCAGAACATCAGGTGCAAGAACCAGAATCGACAGGGGCATCACAGCAGTGGCGAAGCATGCCCCTCTGTCTCTCCGACAACGATTCCGTTTGGGGGGGATCGACCACTCTGTCCCGTCGATCCTGGTTCACACAATTGTGCCCGTGCAAGGTCCGCCAGTCCGAGTTTGGATTGCCACAATCGACACAGTGAGCCGGATAGAACAAGAGGAAGTGTATCACTTGCCAAACATGCTCCACAAGGACGCGGAGGTCACAACGTGCAGTCTCAGACGAAAATTGCGGTAGACCCGGGAAAAAATGCGTTCGTGGCAGCGACGGGCGGCAAGAGGAGGGCGAGCTTACTTCGGGTGAGGCTGGGGCAAACCCCCTGTTTGATACACAGCGTGCTCCACGCGCATTCCCCCTCGCTGGCTTCTTCTGCAAACCAAACTGTACCATGCTGTTGTCAGCGCATAAGCGTTAAGAATACATTGTCCAAACGGGGTATCACAGGCAGCACGTATACACTGCTTAATGGGTACCCTTCGAAAGCCTGTGCGGCGAGCATGCTCTTGATACAATCGCTCACGCGATTTTCGTCCATACGCTTTTACGGTGTTCAAGGCATGGTTGCAAAAGATGGGATAAGGTGTCGGCGTGCAGTGAACACAGATTCCGACTGAAGTACGATACGAACAAGAGGAACTCTGTAGTCTCCGGCAGATCCTCGATGACAGACGGACTGCTACAAAGCACCAGTGCGCCATATCGATGGTGGCTTCAATTCCGAAAAACTTTCCTAACATTTGTCATCGAACGATCGCACATGCAGTCAGTCTCTGTGTTCCACACTCGACGTTGTTGTTCGTTCTCTCCCTCTGTTGTATCTTAGTTCACCGACCTAAAACCCTTCCGGCGGAAAATATCTTGGCTCGCAAGCAGCCGTCGATGATATTCTCCAGTTTTCGTTCATCCTCCCGGCCCCCTCGCTGACGTTGTTCTTGCCTACACTCGACCAGTTTCGCCCGGCGACTCGGCAAGAGCTCAACCGCTCGGCCAACCGACGGCAGACAACAACAGAGAGAACGGGGACACCAACACTTGGAGTGGGCAAGTCGACTCAGCTCCGTTCATTGGAGCAAGACCAGCTGCCGAAAGCCTTGCGGGGCCGACGGAAATCGAGGCACATTGGTGGTGCTGGTGGGCGGAATCGCTTTGTGGAGAGCCATTCCCCCCAAAAGCTGCTGCGTGATCTGGAGTTTGCCGACGACGAGCCACGGACATCGAGCGGGACGCCGGGAGCATTTGGATCATGCATTCCGCCCGGAACGCCGGTCGTGGGGGAGCAAGAGAAAGAGGGCTCCTCGGTCTTTGAAGAAGCAAGCGAGTACCCCAGCGTAGTCGACGAGTCAACATCTAGTAGCCTCGCTCCACGTTCCGGTGGCAAGCCTGTTCGACACCAACGTTGTGGGGTTGAAATCCACGCTGGACTGCAACAACGCAAAGACAACCGTGGTCACCGCGGCGGCCAAGGGAACAGTGGTGGCGACGTTCATGGAGGCAGTGGCCGTGCGCCTTCGTCGCTCTCACCTGTGGACACTACAAGCTACCACGTGGCCAGGTGCATGTGCGAGCTGTGCCGCCGAGGGCGAGCCAAACGAATTCCGGGAGCCCACGCGTGGCCAACCTATAAGTTTGTTGGTGTGGAACCTAGGCTTGTGTCGGCCACCCTACAGGCGCAACGGTTCAGGAGACACCCGTGGGGGCGCGCTTTTTGTGTGGGGGATAAGGCATCATGGCGGTTGCTGTGGTCTTCTCAGCACCTCAGGTAGTTGATGGTGTTCGAGCTCGCAGGGTCAGCCGCGTGAAGCGGGCTGCTTACGGTAACTTTAACTTTTAGAGCTCCAAACCCCTGAACGCACGATGGCTGCTACGTTGACACTGCACCTATCCTTCACGAATCGCTCAAGTCCCCGATCTGCGATTCCTTTGGCTGCCGCTGACCTCTCCAGAACATGAATCGAATTGCTGCCGATTCCTTATGGAAGTCGGCTTACCATGGAAAGCCTCAAGGTACATCGTGCTGCGCCTGACGAGATGAAAGGCCGTCCTTTGTATTCCATCCGATATGAATGCTGCCGTCTCTGCGGCAGGTCCCACGTGTTCCGCAACCTGAAGCGGGGTCAGCGGATCAACAGCTTCCCAAGGACGTACGAGTGTACGCGCAAGGACGCCCTGTCAAGAAACATGAACCGCATGAGCGAAGTGCACGGAGCCAGGCACTTCAGTTTTGCACCTCGAGGCTTCGTTCTTCCAGCCGGTGAGCCTCAGCTTTTTCTTTATTTTTCACATGAAGAGTGTACGCACAACTTATCGGTGTGCGGATGAAGATGGTTGCCGATGCCAATGGTGAGTACGTTGTTGTTGTCACCCTCCTGGTTGTCCTCCATCGACACGTATAATGTATTCCTTTTGCTTTGCTTTACGGTGGTTTCTCGCGGCGACAAGGCTGGTCAACGTCCTGCCGAAAGAATATACTGATAGTAGATATCCCGCTGCCCGAAATGGTGTCGTGGATTTCGTCCTCACCCTGGACCTTTCTCCTCACCCGACATTGCTTTTGTTCAACAGAGCGGGAGGCCTTACGTGAAGCCATGCTTAACACATCAGAAGGGGAGGCTTGGATCGTCAAACCCGCGAATTCTGCATGCGGACGGGGCATCTACATCACGAAAAACTTTGCCGATATGCCAGGTTAGAGAGTTGACCCTTCTCAGGAATAGATCCCGTTCCACCGTGTTTGACCACGTACGTGAAATACACTCAGACGTCAGCGGGCAAACCTGTTCTTGTGCGCAGCCCTTCCGGGGCCGGCCTAGCTTACTAAGTCTATGTACACTTTGTCAACCTGCGCGTTGTTCCCGTACCTACCAACAGTGGGGACGGGCGCTGACGGAAACTGGATCGCTCAACAATACGTGGAAGATCCGATGCTACTGGACGGTCTTAAGTTCGACTTGAGGTTGTACGTTGCCGTTACTAGCTTTCGCCCCTTAAGGTGGGTGCACTCGGCGGTTTAAAGGGCAATACCCTGTTTTATCCACCAATATATATGTTAGTATTACTTTCCCATGTCCTAGTATCGAGGGTGTATCGCTTGCGTACTGCGACTGCGCTCTTGTAGTTCGTGATGTCCTAACAAGATGGTCAGTGCCGCCATCCATCCACCACAATGGGCCACAAGACAAGCGCTATGCTCCCGCGGTTGAGTAAGTACGGCAGTAGAACCAAATGAAGGCTTGAGCGGTACTTCGGGATAGACGTGGTTCCAAGCCCCAGCGGCTGAAACATTTTCCTTCCCTAGACACCCAGGAAAAACTCAACATTCTCATGTAGTGAGAAGGATTCTCACATTACAGCCACCAAAAGCAAACAATGCAGACACGTGTTCAATTGGTATAGGCTACTCCCGGCTACCTCGGCGTGCGACTCGCTTCGCCTTTCCGCGATTGCCCAATTGCCATGCCGCCCTACAACACAGGGTTTACCTGCATGATGAAGGCCTCTGTCGGTTGGCAACAGAGACTTACAGGCCCGATGCACCGAGCTTTGGCAACAAGTTTATTCATTTGACAAACTACAGCATCAACCGAAGGAGCAACCGCTACGAGCATGGGAAAACGACGTAAGAACCCTCTTTGTCCACCCACTTCCACGTCGTAGTTAGTCAAATGATACACCCAAAGAAAACAATAGAAGGTGCTTGAACCCATCAACGCACAGCGAGATGTAACTATTGTATCTACCTGTTTCGTTCTTGCGCAAACCATGGTGTGGACGATTCTGAGTAGTACCATACACTTGCGAGTGTTTCGAAGTTTGAGGAGGGGTTGCTCTCATGACATGGGGTAGACATCGAAGTTGACCCTACCCAAACATTTTCAATACTTCGCCCGCTTGAAGAGGGGGCACGGTACAACATGTTGGTGTTGGTATGGCCGATCCTATTTCGCTGTAGGCACGTCGTAGGCAGCGACCCTTCACATGCAGTGACACAGGCGATTTCAAGGCGGAACAAAAGCTCCTCTCATCCGTTGTCCTTCCCCCCAACGTGTCCATATGGTCAACTCCTACGTGGATTTCAAGCGGGGCCGACGAGCTTCACCAAAGTGAAACGTCTGTAGGAACGGCACCTTCCCAGAACCAATCTCCAGAACGGGCGCATCACGGCGCGGGTTGCGTGTTCTTCACCCCACCCCATCGGCCCTCCGATGGCGCTACCACCGACATCACAACTGAAGAAACAAACGGCTTCCCCGGCAACGCAGCTTCTAAGGGGTCTACCGCAACCCCCACCACCATGCCGGCAGGTGGGGGAACAAGGGGCTGCAGCCCAAACTTGTCTACAGGTGAAAGAAAATGCGGAGACGAGAGAAGTGCGGTATCCATCGACGTCACGAAGCCAACGACGGTCGAAGGAAGTACGTGTACAGGAAAGAAAGAATCCGGAGGCTCTTGGGCTGGAGGCAGGAGGGTTGGGGGGGGGATGGGGAGTAAGTGGAGCCTCAAGGTTCTTCGACGAAGGTTGGCGGGGATGGGAGTGGACGTGCCTGCGTTGTGGCAAGACATCCACTCCGTGGTGATCAAAACCCTCATTGCGATCGAAGCTCAGGTGCAACTTTGGGTGTTTAGCAGTACCACCCCTAATTTGATTGATTGTGATCTGGCCGATTTGCTCTATGGGTGTGCCTCACTGTACATTTAGCTAGCTCTCCGCATCGACGAAACCCGCGTTGAACCTTCTGTACCTGGCACCAGATTTTTCGATCTTCTCCGTTTGTTCATTGACGCACGAACGGGTTGGTATCGTCGTATTTTGAAGGTATCTGCGGCTGTGGAGCTGCTGGCGATTCGCAGGGGAACCTGTTTCGAAGTGAGTCTCATGGAATAGTTTGATGCCAAGCACCAGTAACTTTTGTCCACCCTCGAGTCCCATTTTAAGGAGGGAGTACGCCGCTTACGGATTTCTCGTACGAAGGGATAGAGAATTACCCCGCTACACCAAGGGTCTCCGGGCAGGGCACACTTGAGACAACCGACACTTACAGATATCCAGAGCACAGGTTTTCCGATTTCCTCCCGCCAAGGTCTCACGAGCAATACCAATTTAACCTGCATACACACCCACTTACTACTGTGACTCAGATGTTTGGTTTTGACGTCCTGGTGGATCGACAGCAAAGGCCGCATCTACTGGAAGTGAACTTCGCGCCGTCTCTCAATACCGATAGCGATTTAGACTTGGAGATCAAGTCTAAGGTGAGGTATCGAGAGGGGGGAAGGGGGGACGACGCACTGTACTTGTCTGTTGCTTGCCTTGGTCGTTTGACCGTTGACCACGCACTCTTGTTTGAGGAAGCAACTGGTCCTACTACTTCGAGCAACCTCGTGCGTGTGGGCTATCTTTTCGGTTTTCGCCGCTTCTGTCGTGATGTCTTCGAACCCAATACGCTTATGTCGTTAACAATACGTCGAAACAGCGATTCCCATCTGAGAAAAAAAAAATTCACGTCACTGCTATTCAAGAACACCATCGCTAGTTAGCTCGTATTTGTTCGTATACGTCCTTTACTTGGGGGGGGAAAGACGTTTTATCTCTTGTATTAGACACGCAAAGGGGGTAGCGAGAAGTGAAGCCCTCTTTGGAGTTCGAGGGGTCCCCGCACATGCAACCATATCAAGGTGTACATATGCCCCATCTGCGTGCCCTCTGTTGTTGCCGGTAGATCTGACCAGTCCGTATCCAAACACACGAATACCCTCCCCAGTTTGCACGCGAATGGCAAACCTAACGTGGGGCATGGATACCCCTGATCTCCCAAAGGGACTCAAAACAACAACAGACTCGAGGGAAAACCCGGCCAACCGGATCAAACACCCTCGTCTAACACCCTAAACAAAGAAAACCGTCGCTATCACGGAGGATTCCAACGGCCGCACTTCCAAGACAAGACCAAGGCAGGACAGATTGAACCGGTCACGCTGATTACACACCCGAAGCAACGCTCTCGGCGTTTCTAGGCTCCAGCCGCGGGTGACACGCCGGCACAACGCTTCCTGCGTGACGTACCATGGTCATATATGCCAAGTGCTAAAACCACCACATAAACCAAACAGAACAAGAGAAACCACATCGGTAGGTCCATCAGAGCGTTCCGCTGGTACTCTAACTTCTCTCTGCCCAGGACCTTGGTCAGCATGTCGGCGTGCTGCTCTCCAGTCGGAACATACTCTGCAGTGATCTTGCCCGACTTGAATAGCTCGCGAATGAAATGGAACCGCACGTCGATGTGCTTGCTCCTCGCTGAGCTAAGCGGGTTCTCGAATAAGGCGAGAGTCCCCTTGTTGTCCTCAAGGACCTTGATCTTCGCCCCACTCGTCTCGGGCGCTATGAACGACAGAACGCCACGCAAAAACAACGCCTTCTTCACGCCCTCCCCGGCTGCCATATACTCTGCTTCCGAGGTCGTCTGAGCCGTCACTGGCTGCGTCTTGGTGGATGCACACACTACGGTACCACCTACGGTCACAGCTAGCCCGGTCGTAGAACGCCTGTCTACGTCGTTGTCAGCGTAGCTGGCAATGACAAACACGCTTAGGTCTAGTCCTCACCCCCGTACGTAGGTGATGCCGAAGTCCTTCGTGAAGTTCAGGTAGGACATGATCCACACAAGCGCGTTCCATATCCTCCCGGTGGGTGAGTGGGCGATCTTCTGGAGCTTGTTCAGAGGCAGGGCGATGTCTGGCCTCATCAGCTTCGTCCACATCAGGCATCCGATCGCCTCCCTCACAGGCTTATCCACCGCGGGCTCGTCATCTCTCTTCNTCCCCCAGATATTTCACCGGAAACTTCTTGTTGAGGGAAGCGAACAACTCCTCTCGCTATCCCTCGTCTGCCGCCACTAAGATGTCATCAACGTAGATCATGATGAGACCTACGACCTCTCCATCCACCACCTTCCGCAAGACAAGGGTCAACCCTGCACTGCTCGTATCCATTCTCGATGAGGGCATCGGCAGCTTCAAACCCCCACTCACGGCCACTCTG